TACCATACGTTCTATTCGGGGGAAGACAGACCCTGAAAATGAAATACAGTCAAATACATACATTCTGGACAGAGCTGCATGAGAATGCCCCCCCACTGAAAATGAAAGGGGCTGACAGGCAACCAACCTCTCACGGGGAGCCAGCAGATCAGACACAGCCGAGATTCTGCTTTCTTGTAAGAAACAAAATGATAAAATCAAACGGAAAAAAAACGGCATAGCGCCAGATGCCAATGGCAAAGAGTATTGGAATAAGTGGCTGAATCTGGACGTGTTCCACACAGAGATGCCGAAAATCAGTTCAATCACAACTGTTCGCACCTCTCCACAAACACGTCCAGACTCAGAGGCTTATTTATTCCAATCCTCTTTGCCAGTGGGATCTGGCCCATACTAAGCACTATACGCGATTGTCTTCAGATTCATCCATGGCAGTCGGATATGTTCCGGAATTGCCTGTGTGAGACTTCCCCCAAATGTTACTTCGCTAGCAGGCACTTGATTGCTCCCCGTCTCTCACAGGGAGTCGCATCAGAAACAGCTGAAGTTCTTCTTATTTGTAACCCCCCCCCCCCMAAAAAAAARGGSYGGSGGSCGCGKCGGTTGGCGGTACCTTAGTGCGCTAATGTGCGCTAAGGCAGCGCTAACGCAGGGGCGCAAATGGTGATATCGGAATTACCGAGGTTACACCTCGGGAGTTAGCAGCCAGAGGCGGCCGACGCGAGAGCTATGGACTAGCTAAGTGGAAATCGTTCGAAGTATCTCTGCTTCCGCGTGGTATGTTTAGTACTGTGTTTCCCCTTGAGAAGATCAAGGGGCAGGGAGATGCTGTCAGCCGGAGAAGACTGTCACGAGCTCGGAAGATGGAACGTTTCGTTGGTTGTGCGTGCCCATGCAAAGATTGGGTTCTACTACATGAAGATTAGCAGCAGCGTCAGCGGGAGCAGTGGGAGAGCTCGTGATGGCGGTGGGAGTGCTGTTGACAATACCAAGGAGACAACGTGCTTTACTTTACTTTGCATCTAGCCATACTGGTGTGCCACATCTCTTACCTTTGCTCAGCCCTCTTTCCAAGGAGGATTCATCGGGAGATTCGCACGAGAAATCCAGGGTAAGCCGTATCGGGATATCTTGTATTACACTTTATGCCTGGGTCACTGACGTATATTAGATTTCTTGATAAGTTGGAAACACTCATTTACATGCTTATAATCACCGTTCTGGGCTAGATCCCTCTAGTTAGCCTCGCATTTTTAGTCAGGTCCCTGGATTGGATGAGAATCTTACATTGTAGAGGATTGTTTTATATTCAATTTGGTTTTTAATGTGCTTCACGTCAACACCGAGGGTTTTCACATATTTTCGGTGGAGCGGCAATATCTAACGGGTCTCGGAGGGATCAGGTGCCATATTTTGGAAATTTGGAGGACTTGCTGGTAATTGGAACAGATCTCAAAATCTAACCAGCTGAATTGGGCTGGAAAGTGGGTAGAATCCTTAGAGTTCGAGCTCAAGCTATCTCGATAGCGTAACCAGGGTCCTCTGCCAACAGGTTCCCTTGTCATTTTTGTACCTTGGTTTGCTCGTGGGATATTTTAGTTTTTCGGTATCCGTACTTGGTGCCATTCGTGGAATAGGTACAGGTTTTTACTCCATTCGTGGAATAGGTACAGGTTTTTACTATCTTCATGATTGAAATGGGGCTTTATCTACCTACAATTACATCTTACTTTATTTATATTCGGAAGGCTTCTGCATGTCTCTAACCATAGATATTGGTTAGTTCACACTCTCCTCTAGTTCCTACTTGAGCACGCACTTGTGTTTCAAGTGCAGTTTTCACGTTTAGTTAACTCGCTTACCTCTGCTCCATGTTTTAAGTTTTGATGCGTTCCATTTGGGTGTCTTTCACAGTCGTTGGCATTTTATGGAATTTGATTTTACTCACGATCAAGCCTTGCTCCGCACGGTGTATCTAGCAGCAACCAACGGCGGTTGCAAAAGTTCTGTTGATGCTCTCTCAGACTGCCGGACGAGGACGGATGGCTGATTTCAGCCAAGAAGAACCTTAGCAATGTACAAGGAGAGAGAGAGCCTGGGATCGGTGGAATGCTTTCACACTGGAATGTACCTGGCCCCAACAGTCCGCTGGATTCTGGGCTTGTCATATCTCGTAACTGGAGATATCCTGAGATCTTTAGACAGCCCTTAGGCTCACTGCTTATCATTTAAATCTTGGTATAAATGCGTGTTTTTGTGTTTGTATTTCCAAAGCTTGTGGTTAATAGGTGGCCGCGCGAGATGAGTGAAGCTACTGGTGAAAGGTTAAAACAGGTCCCAGTTGCCTTTAGTGTGCCTATTAGCTCACATGTCTTTCCCCAGTGAGGAGGAGAGGAACTACTCCAATACATTTTCTTTTTTTTTTGAAATGAAAGGGCGACAGCCTTGAGATATTATCATTGAGCTGACCGGCCCCAGGCAATTCATTTGTAGTTGGTTTTAGTTATCAAGTTCCATCATCTGGATTCGAACACCGGCCTGTATTTCAACAGTTCATGGGTGTGCCCACTGAACTAGTTTCTTAAGTTCTGTCTGACTGCATTTGCACAGCTGTTTACGATGAAGAGTGTAGGGACTGTTCCAATGTGGTTTAGGGTGAATCCCTTGGAGATATCGGCAGCGGCGCTACCATGAGCAGTGAGAGTGTAATGGTGGCGGTGGGAACGCTGCTGGTTAGGTGGTAGGAGAGAACCGGTGAAGAGCAAACTTGAGTTGTACCCATTGTGATTGCTCTATTCACAAAGATCCAAGGGCGCATGGTGGGAAACCCGTCATGGCAACTCAGGCTCTTTGCAGTTTGTTGGACAGCATAGTAAGCAGTCTAAGGACAAGGGGAAAAGCTCTGAAGAGAGGGTTGATGGGATTATCGTTCCGGGGATAAACAAGCAGTCGCATATTTGTTTTGGATCTGCTGTTTTCTAAGTGGAGACTCGGTTGGTATTCTAGGGATTGCATATAGGTACTGCAGTTCTAGTGGATCATTAAAGCTTTATATACAATTTCATGGGTAGCGGCACTACGGAGGCAGTGTGAGTGCCACCGTTGGTGGTGGGAGTGCTATTCCTTGCAGTTGGTATCATTAGGATAGGAAGCAAACTCGAACTGTATCCATGGTGATCTTGGTTCGACGGACCGTAGATCTTATCGAAGATCCAAGGGTGCGTGGTGGGAAACCCATCAAGGTAGTTCAGGCTTCCTTTGGACTGCAGACATGTTTGGGTTAACGTTCATCAGATTGAGCAAAGGTCGTTCATCTTTGAGTTTAGCCCAGGGCTGTGAGCAGGTAGAATGTTTAAAATGTTTTTAGATATTCACTGGCTGAAGGATTTGAGTAGTTATAACTTTCTTAGTTCGGCCACCTTTTATTGAGCTTCAAGTTCGTTTTTGAGAAGTTTTATTTCTGTTGAGAGTAGAGGGGTCCTGGGATGCTGGACCCGGTTTCCAGCAAGGTTCTTGGTGACTCTGGGTTGAATTGTGAGGTTCCCGGCCTCAGCGACTTCTTTTTTGGAATATAAGGTGACAACTTCTCGAAAAAAAAAAAAAAAAAAAAAAAAAAAAAAAAAAAAAAAAAAAACAGAAAAAACATGGTCCCCTATGCTCAGTTGGTACACCCCCGGAACTGACCTAGCTCAGTTGGCACACCCCGCCGAACTGTTAAAACTTGAAAAGAAATACAGACCCGAACTCTTGCGAACACTCCGGAAAAATTGCTAAAGTCAGACTGCACCGAAACCAACTGGGCTAGTTCAGGCCAGTTGGTACACCTCCCCTGAACGAACTATTGAAATACAGACCAGTGCTGAGTTCGAACTCCACTGGAAGCAGATGAGTTAAATACTACAATTCTACCAACAGGCTTACCTCAGTTGGTAGATCTATAAGCTGTCGAAATGCAGACCTGAGTTCAAGTCCAGATGGAACCAGATGAACGGAATTCCTGAATTACAGAGGGGACTGGTCAGTTCAGTTCCACAACGATATCTCAAGGCTGTCGCCCTTTTTAGTAAAATAAATAAATAAATACACTGGGCCGGTCACTTCAATGACGATATCTCAAGGTCGTCACCCTTCAAAAAGAAAAAAAGAAAAAAAGAGACTTCCCTGCAACGTTCCTTTGCGGGCTGCACCTCGTCTCTCAGTGACGGGGAGTCCGCTCTGAAACAGCCGAGATGCTTCTTCCTAAAAAACAAACAAAAAAAGGAAATATCATCGGTTTCAGATTCGCCCACCGATGACCATAACCGCAGCCAGATACATATTCGAAAGTGCGAAAGTGAAAATGCCCTCGAACGTTCCATTTCTTTTTTTTATCACTGCATTGCCTTCAGCGTCTGTGCATGTGGAAACACATGCACGGCATACACCAACAGGACGTGCCACATGCATGCCATACGCGAGCAGGCAGATCCTGCAATCCAATGGATTCATTTACTGTGTCAATTTAAACAGAGCGACGCAAAAGGAAAAGTGGCCATGTAAACACGGCGAAGGGGGGAAGAGAGGAAGAAGCTCAAGAAGACAGAAAATGGCAGTGTGCCACCTGGTAAAGATGATTTAACTTATTTTGCCAAATGACGTTTCTCCACAAGGTGCCTCAGGGGCAGGGAGTACACAGTTTGAACTTGAGCTCAACACATACTGTTTAGAAATAGATTGAAAGAGAGGAAGGGGAGAGAGAGAGGGGAGAGGGAGAGTGAGAGGGGGAGCGAGGGACGGCGAGAG